TGTAAGCTTTTCCTTTGACCTTTGCTGACACCTTTTTGTTACAAATCCCTCCTGAAACTTTTCTCCATCCACTCCATCCTGCCTGGACTCTTTTTTTAACTTCTTTACCACTTTCCCCATTTTCCTGGACAGTGGACCCCAAGTACTTGAAGTCCTGCACCTTTGTGACCTCTGCTCCTTGTAGCCTCACTGTTCCACCGCCCTCTCTCTCATTTACACACATGTACTCTGTCATACTATGGCTGACTTTCATTACTCTTCTTTCAAGTGCATACCTCCACCTCTCCAAGTTCTCTTCCACCTGTTCCCTGTTCTCAACACAGATCACAATGTCATCTGCAAACATCATCGTCCACAGGGTTTCCTGCCTGACTTCATCTGTTAGTCAGTCCATCACCAAAACAAGAAGGGGCTCAGAACTGATCCTTGATGCAATCCCACCTCCACCTTGAAGCTATCTATCACTCGTACAGCACATCTCACCACTGTCCTGCTGTCCTCATACATGCCCTGTACCAGTCTAACATACTTTTCTGCCACTCCAGATTTCCTCATGCAATACCACACCTCCTCTCTTGGCACTTTGTCATATGCTTTTTCTAAATCCACAAAGACACAATGGAGTTCTTTCTGACCCTCTCTGTACTTTTCCATCAGTATCCTCAAAGCAAAGATGGCATGTGTGGTGCTCTTTCTTGGCATGAAACCATACTGCTGATCACAGATAGTCACCTCTCGTCTAAGTCTAACTTCCACAACTCTCTCCCAGATCTTCATCATGTGGCTCATTAACTTAATTCTCCATTAGTTGTTAAAACTCTGTACATCACCCCGTTCTTAAAAAATGAACGTAGCCCACTTCTAAACATATGTTTTGACAAAAGTGTTTTACGTCGGATACCCTTCCTAACACAACCCTCATCTTTTACCTGGGCTTGAGACTGGGACAAGAGATGCACTGGTTTGCATATGTTCATCTAAACATATTTTTTATAAACTAACGAATGAATGAAAATCAAAACATTTTATATAAGTCCTTGATGAAGAATGCTTTTGCTTTGCAAATATCTGTTGGGGGCAGCATCATTGTAGTCTGTGACATTAATAAAGCAATAAATAAGATAAAAAGGCTGGCTCTGTTCTGTGCATTGATCGAGAACCCTAGCTGAATGTACAGACACACCCTCCCTTTCAAAATAGTCATTAAAGAATTGTCTTCACTCACAAACATCTTAAAGTGATTGTTGAGATATTTTAAATTGGAGGAAAGGTTATGAACTGTTAATATCTTACAGGTTGTAGAAACCGTATTCATTATCATCACTTTTGTATTACAGATTTGTTTTGATCAAAATTTGTTGGTATGAGCAAGTAAAAACTGTGCTGGCTGCAATCATAGCACATCTGTTAAGAATATCATACTGTAGCTCCATGGAATAACTGTAATGTGAAACTTATTAAACTTGTCAGGATCCTTGTATTTTTGTAGTTGTAGTTAGTTTCTTTGAGTCTGTTTGTTTTTGTGTTTTCAACTTTCCTGGTGTTTTTTCCCCATGTACCAGTAGTCAGCTCATGCCACTCTCACCTGTTCCTCATTATCTTTCTCCAGGTGTCCGTCATTATCTGTCATTAGTTTCTCTTTAAGTTCAGTGTCAGTGTGTTTCTTCCCTGTCCGTGGATTGTCCTTCTCAGCTGTCATGCTCTGATTCCTCTATCTCCCGGTGCTCTAGCTTTTTTTTTTTTTTTGTAAGTTTTGCTGCCACGTCAGTGTTTTGTTTTTGTATTAAGTTTAATAACTAGTTATTCTTTATTTTACCTTTGAGTTTCTCTGATTGTGTCTGCACCCTAGGTTCAACAAACTCTACTGGTCATGAAAAAATATAAAGGCTGTAAAGTAGCATTTGTATTAATCTGTATGAATTTATTGGGCTGGATATGTTTTTTTTTTTTTTTTTTTTTTAAAGACAACATTACTCCACAATAATCATGGCCTTGCTCTAATGCAGTAGCTAGCTGCTAATCTACAGCGGACATAAAGACAGAGGTAAGGTATACTGTGGACAGGTTGATCAAAGAGTCTACTAGAGAAGAACCACTCACATTCTCACCCAGAGCCATCCTAGATGTGCTAATTACTCTATGCCTCTTTTGGGACTGTGGGAGGAAACCTGATTATCCATCCATCCATCCATCCATCCATCCATCCATCCATCCATCCATTATCTTTTACCTGCTTTTTCCTTTGCGTGTCATGGGAGTTACTGGTACCCATGTCCAGCCATCACTGTGTGAGAGGCGGGGGACACCCTGGACAGATCTCCAGTCCATCACAGGGACACATAGAGACAAACAAGACAAACAACCATTCACTCTCTCATTCACACCTAGAGACAATTTAGTTACCAATCAGCCTAGCATGCATGTTTTTGGTCTGTGGGAGGAAGTGCCCAGAGAAAACCCACACAGCATGGAGAGAACATGCAAACTCCCCCCAGAATGGCCCCCTGGCCGGGATTTGATCCGGCAACCTTCTCGCTGAGAGGCGGCAGCTCTACCAACTGGGCCACCGTGCCGCCTGAAACCTGATTATATAAAAGAAAAGAGAAAAAAAGCAACCCATATGTTGAGGGAGAATCTACAACAGGTAACATATTAACTTTTCATAATTATTCCACAGCACCCCACAAGATTCTGAATTGTTCAGAATCTGACTGAACTGAAAAATCAAAACAGGAGGTCATTTCTGTTTGGTACAATGGCACTGTAAGATGTTTTTTTCCATGACCAACATTAAAATACAATTTACCCACTTGGTGTATTGAAGCTCTGTCGTTGAACTCAGTTCAGCTTCGTTAATATTCACTTTAAGGTTCAAGGTGCTTTATTTGTCATTCACACCACATGTGGTACATGTGGTGGAACGAAATTATGTACACAGGGTCCCAGTTACATCCAACAATAAAAAGTAAAAGAAAAACAGTAATAACATCTAAGATATGAACTAAGAAAAACATAAACTAAAATACGCTAAACACTAAAAGCATAAAAACGTTACATCGAACAGCAGCACGAACATGAGTCTGTGTGAGCAGATGTGCACGCATGAACACATCAACATTTAAACCGATCAGCAGCAACATGATGTGATTTTTCACAGTGATTATCCTGATTAGAGATTCATGAATCTAACAGCCTCAGGGTAGAAGCTGTTCCTCAGTCTAGTGGTTCTACACTTAATGCTCCTTAACTTCCTTCCTGAGGGGAGTAGGGCAAAAAATGTGTGTGCTGGGTGAGTGGGGTCCTTCATGATGCAGGTGGCCCTCTTCCTGCATCTGGAGGAGTAGATGTCTGTGATGGTGGGGAGACTGACTCCAACAGACTTCTGTGCAACCTTCACCACTCTCTGCAAAGCTTTTCTTTCTGCAGCTGTGCAGCCTCCATGTCGCACGATGCTGGAGCACAGGATGCTCTCCACTGCACACCTGTAGAACGAGGTGAGGACCGAGCTTCCCAGACCAGCTCGTCTCGGCCGTCTGAGGAAGTAGAGTCTCTGATGAGCTTTCTTGATCAGGCTGGTGGTGGTGTTGCCCCAGCTGAGGTTGTCATTCATGTGTACACCCAAGTAGAGACCTCTTCCACCGCAGATCCTCTTATGTTCAGAGGGGTGTATGTGTGTTTGTTCCTTCGGAAATCCACAATCATCTCTTTTGTCTTCTTCACATTGATGTGAAGGTTATTCTCTCTGCACCAGCTCTCCTGGTGTTGCACCTCCTGCCTGTAGCTGGACTCATCATTGTTTGTGATGCATCTCACCACCGCTGTATCATCTGCAAACTTTACAATGTGACAGCCTGGACGGGTAGCTGCACAATCATACCTGAGCAGAGTAAACAGAAGGAGACTCAGTACACATCCCTGAGGAGAGCCAGTGCTGAGGGTTATGGAGGAAGAGGAGAAGTTGTGGATCCTCACAGATTGAGGTCTTTTTTTTAAGAAGTCTAGGACCCAGTTGCAGAGGGAGGGGCTTAGTCCTAGTGTGAGCAGTTTGTCCATCAGGGTCTGGGGGATCATGATGTTGAAGGCAGACGTGAAGTCCACAAAGAGCATACAGACGTAGTAGTCCTGCTGCTCCAGGTGGGTGAGAGTAGTGTGGACCACAGAGGAGATGGCGTCCTAAAGTCAGTGTATTAAAAGAATAGTTAGAGTTTTTGTTTTTATAAAAACGAGTAGTTTTCTAAAAATCTGTAATATAGATTTAAAATCAGATATTTTACTTACATATAATACCTACGTCAAAGCAAACGTACACACGGTTCCTGCGTGTTTTCTCGTGTCTCAACACCACATTCGTCTTCTTCTCTTCCTCATTTCATTACAGGAAGTGCGTTTGTACTCAGGCTGTCAGCGTACACTGTGGCAGGTCATTTTTGAGAAGTCTTGTGAACATTATCCATCTTTAGCACCCGACTGCGCTGCTGCCACCATGCCCCAACTTGGACAATGAACTTCAGCACCACGTTTGATGCCACATGTGGTAAACTACAAAGTCTATGGGTAGGTGTCTTCATCTTACATGTATTTCTTATGCACTGACAGAACAGTTGCTTCTTCATACAAGACAACCGAACTCAGCGAGAGGTAAACTTTTCATTAAAAGTGCAGGAATTGTTGAAATACACAAACCAATTTTAGATGAATCATTGTACAAATTACATAAGACAATGAGCATTTTACACTTTGGGAACTGGATTTGGCAATATCTTACTTCACTATCTAGCTGTTAGCTGTCAGTACACCAAACAAGCTACTGCAATGGAAAAATAGGGTTTGATAGCATCTCGCCTCAGCTTCCCCATTCTGAATAGTGTTTCAGTGAGCTTGTGGAGAGGTGCAGTGTTTATGGCACATCAGCAGAGAGAATTTGAGCAGCAGAAAAGTACAAATTGGTGCACGTCTTTCTCTTGACTTGACTTCAGGCTGGAGTCCAGTTCCCGGGGGAGATGGGGAATGTGATCAGAGGCGTTGGTGCCAGAAACAAGGTGAACAATGAAAACGTTGACAGCATGCCAAAAAGTAAGATTTTAATGCAAGTATTGTTGGAATAGCATTTGTGATCCAAGTTTATTGGATTTTTGCACACTGAAAGTTTTTGCTACTTCTGTCAGGATCCACTATACGGTACTTTGTGCAGATAAAATGTCAAATAATGCATACATGAGGCATAAAGCTAATATTGTTTTTGCAGCATTTCAAGTAGTCAAGACTGTAAGATTCTGTGAAACAGAAAATATACACATTTAAAAAAAATGAATCGACAATTAACTAAAATCTGGTGTTGGACATTTCTCCTTTTGTAATTTTCCAGCCGTGCTGCCTGTGTTAAAAGTGACTGTGTTCTGCAGGTTCTGATGAAGACATAGTGGTTGTGCTCGAGGACTACCCCTCTGCTGAAATCAGCGAGCCCATCTACAGAATGGGAGAGAAGCTCCAAGTTACTGCACAGTACGATCGTCTTCTTTGTTGTGCTTTTTTCATGCATTTAAAAGATTCAAAAGGGCTATGAGGAAATAAAGTTAAAAAAGTGAAAACTGTTTATTAAAGTTTGTCATTGAGGGGAAGTAAAGGCACAAAAGGTCAGCTGTTAATTCCTTTTTCTGTGTTGATGATGAGCAGGGAGGCTTACTGGTGGAAAGTTCGCTCTGCAGGGAAGGAGAACTACATACCCAACAGCCACGTGGCTAAAGTATACCACAGGTAAGCTCCAGCTATAGCTAGCCTATGGTCCTTTTAAACCTTAAATTTATTAACAGGAAAAAAGTCACCATCTATATTTTATAGAAGCAAGTGGTGGGATATGTTGATTGTTACTGCTTTCAGTTTTTCTTCTGAATGTCATCTCATTCCATGCCTGCCGTTCTGTCAGGTGGCTCTTTGAAGGAGTGGGGCGGCAGAAGGCCGAAGAGCTGCTTCTTTTACCTGGCAACAAAGTGGGCTCGTTTCTGGTGCGGGAAAGCACCAGTGAGAGAGGTAAGAGTGTGCGCAGTAAACCAGCAAAGTGTATATATAATAAACTTATTGAAGCATCTTTTTTTTTTGGTCTGATGATGAGGAACTTTAAAGATCTCTGTTTAAAAAGAAACAAAAAAGAGAAATGTTGAGAAAGAAGGAAGCTACTTAGAATAAAAAAGGGAAGATGTAACGGCTTATTATAACTAATAGGAGCAAAGAGCTGAGCTCCTAGATAGTTTGGTCATTTTTGAAGTGGCATTCTGTCAAATCATTAATTAATACATACTCAGTCGTGACATCAGAGTCTTCATCCGGGTTAGACAGATTAAACAACTCTTATAAAATGTCTTTATTTAGTTTAGTTGTTTTCTCAACCGAACAACCTCCATGCTACTACATGAATGTGCGTTTGCTGACAGATCACATATCGATGGAGCTGAGAGGCTGTGAATATGTCAGTCCACCTAAAGATGAAAAAAACATTTCGACAGACTCGACGGTGCACTGATCAGGCGGATTGATACATTCGCAGCTTTAACGCCATCGTGGTCTGTCAGCACAGAATCACGCAGCAACTTACTGTGATTGGTTGAGAAAATAAAGTCAAAGGAAATGATGTTGTAAAAAAGTGTAGAGGTTTAATATTATGTTGCGTTGCTTTGCTTAAGACTAGCTGGTCATGTTTGAGAAAATTTGTTTTATAAGCCTGAAAAACGATTAAAAAATGTCTCTGATTTGGTGAGCCTTTAGCTTAGCCTGGAGGAAATATATCTGGTGTTTTCTTTATGCTCTTTGATCAATACCTAATCATTACTATCTGACAAAATATCCCATCATAAATGATCAGACTAAAAGACTAAAGCTCTTCTAGCAGTGATGACGTCTGCTTAACTTATTTAAAGAGCACGCTGTTTGAGCTCGAGCAGGGCTGTTCAAAGTCTGCTAATATGAGCTACATCAAACGTTCATCATATCTTTAAATTCAATGGGAAGGTGAAAAAACACAAAAGATATATTAAAAACTTAAACTTACACCTATGGTAAAATTAATCAGAAATTCCTCCTGTGACATGATCCTAACGCAAGGTAAATTAATACAGAATGATTGTGCATGAGAAAACAGAGCAGATGTCGTAAAATACTTCTGCATTCACGTTGGGCCTTCATTTTCAGTTTGACTGGACCTTATGTGTGAATATCACACCATGAAAGGTACATTTAAAATAAAAACTGCTGCTAAACACCATTTAAAACTTCATCAGTGCTATTAGCTCGCAAAACTGTTGTTTTTTTTATATGTGAGGGTGACTAGATCCCTTAAATTCATTCCAAGGATCGTCATCTTCTTCAACCCAGTAAAAATCTGCATTCAGGTAAAACTGTATATGAACATCTTCATCTATGCTACAACTAATTAAGGTAGCACTTTACAATAAGGCTCGCCTTATCGATGGCTAATAAATAGTTTATAGGTACGTTATTAATTCCTCCATAAGCACTTTATAAATCATTAATAACTGTTTATTATATATTAATTAAAGGTGCCAGAGACAAAACTGAGCAGTTTCTTACCAAATAGTGAGTCAAATCTGTTCACCTATATATTTCATCTAGAGTTGTTATATTATACATTTCAGACTAAGTTACTACCTTGTAAGTACAATAAGCATTTATAACCCTAATTTTTTAGGATATAACATTAGTTGTAGATACTTATAATGCAGTGATAAAGTACAATGTTATAGGCTAAAGGAATAGGTTTACAAATACTTATTGTGCTTACAAGGTAGTAACTTAGTCTGAAATGTTTAATATAACAACTCTATTTGACTCACTATTTGGCAAGAAACTGTTAGTTTTGTCTCTCTGTCACCCTTAATTAATGCATAATAAGCAGTTATCAATGATTTATAAAGTGTTTGTAGAGGAATTAATAATGTATCTATAAACTATTTATTAGCATCTATAAGGGAAGCCTTATTGTAAAGTGGTACCCTAATTAAGTAGACAGCTTGTTAAAAAACACTCCATCACTCCCTGTTGTTCTTCATGGCTGCTGTTATTTAATATTCTGTTATTTAGATAAAGGCATTCAGGTGGAAATGGTATTTTTAATGGTGTGTGTTTTATCCTCAGGTCTGTATTCGCTCTCCGTGAGGCACAGGCAGATAAAGCACTATCGCATCTTCAGACTGGACAACAGCTGGTACTACATTTCCCCACGGCTCACCTTCCAGTGCCTTGAAGATATGATCAACCATTACTCTGGTAGGCGCTCACGGTGCAAACGTCTCAGTCTACCAACAGAGAAGGGCGTGAGATGACCAAAACACAAACGCAGGCAACCACATGCGCTGAAATGAGGTTTCTGAAAATAATTTTCATGTTCCTAAAATAGAAACGTCTCTTATCAGTGTTGAGTTTGTATGAGTACTTCCTGGACTCACAGACCATTTCTGGAACAAACAGGAAATGAGATACAACAAGGCCACTTGATAATTACCATCTGTGCACAAACGTTTACGAGTTGATGTTTGAAAGAGTGCATCGGATCTCTGATCTTACAGTTTGATTTGTGTTGTTTGCTTGATCAGTGGTGTGTGCGAGAGCTTAATGCAAATTATGGAACTAAATATCTCACTCTATAACTGCTTTATTCTGTTCACACCGTCTCTTCCTCTTCAGACTCTGCAGATGGACTGTGTTGCACCTTAACGTCTCCGTGTCTGTCAGAGGTAATGAAGACATCGGAAGCAGCTCCGGGACCTCCACCTGTCGTTATGCGACGCATTTTTGACTGGAGGAAAGTAGACAGGTATAGAAAACTCCTGATCCTACTGAAAGGGTTTAATCACATTAGGCTGAGCTGCCTTTGGCCTTTGGGAACGAGTGAAATGAGTGAAAAAAGACAACAGTGATGCACCAGTGAACAGAGCGGTGACAAGAATTGGCTGTTTTAAAGTTTAATTAGCTTGACTGACTGATCTGACATCATTTTTTTTTCTCAATATCCTGATCAAAATTGTAATTTTGTGTTATGGCTGTGAACGGCACAGCTGATAGGCTATGGTGCACCAGTATGTAATAGCAATTGATCTTTATAGTCAGAGAAAAACGTTTGTAAGCTCAGCCATCCAGGTAGATAACAACAAAAATGGTTAAACCATGTTATAGTCAGAGAGTCAGAGTTTCTTTATTTGTCATCTGCACCACATGTGGTACATGTGGTGGAACGAAATTGTGTACGCAGGGTCCCAGTTACATCCAACAATAAAATGTAAAAGAAAAACAGTAATAAGATCTAAGATATGATCTAAGAAAAACGTTAACTAAAAATACACTAAGCACTAATAGCATAAAAACAATACACCGAACAGCAGCACAAACATGAGTCTGTGTGAGCAGATGAGTATGAATGAACACAGCAACATGAAACAGATCAGCAGCAACATGAAACAGATCAGCAGCATGATGTGATTATCCTGATTAGAGATTCATGAGTCTAACAGCATCAGCGTAGAAGCTGTTCCTCAGTCAACTGGTTCTACACTTAATGCTCTTTAACCTCCTTCCTGAGGGGAATGGGGCAGAAAGTGTGTATACTGGGTGAGTGGGGTCCTTCATGATGCAGGCGGCCCTAAAGATACTAGCTGTACTTTTCCGTGCAATAAATGAACGGTTTACTAATCTATTCTAGTATTTTACTCTCCCACAGCTACTGAGAGTTTGTTTTGAAGATGGGGAATGAAAAAATGTAAAGATGTACTTTAATATTCTTAGATACCCCCCCCCCCCCACCACCACACACACACACACGCCCTCCAAAATATGTCAAGAAGCTATAATTTGGTTTTAAAATAAATATAAACTGTATTTTCTTTTTCTGAGCTGTGCCTCGCTACAAAAATAAAAAAATAAAGAAGAAGAAGAAAACATTTGGAGAACATCAACAAAAATAGTAAAATTTAAAAATGTGAATCAGTGCAAAACTATTGTGGATAAAACCATATTTTTACATTAAAAAAAAAATCTAAATCTGCTCAGTTAGTGAGTATAATAATTTCATGGTAGCTAAAATCTTAAGGCAAGTTCCAGTTTTCCACGTGAAACAAGCCTCTGTGCTCTCATCTGCTCCTTTTATAGGAACCAGCTGGTCAGCACAGACAACCAGAGCGACAGCGTGGTGAGTTACGGCGTCAGGAACAGCATCGCTGCCTATTTGTCCTTTTCTGGCCACCAAGACTCGGCTCAGCTGCAAGCAGAGAGCAGGAAGAAGAAAAGCAAGTCTGTGTATGCATTTCCTCAAAGCGGCAACGCCAGCACCGAGTATGATGACGACTTTTAGAGACGAAAGGAAAACATCCACGTGGAGGCCCACAGAGGGAGTCAGTCTCTGAACTCTGCACTGACCTCACATCCGAGGATCTTAAACATAAAAGTGTTTATGAAGCACTTTGACATATTTGAACAGTTAAAAAAAAGTTGCATATACTAATACTTTGATGCAAATGATAAAAAGGAACCAGGCGAGCTGCATTATGGTGCAGGATAACGTGATGCTTGGCTGCTATGGGCCAGAAAGAAAACTTGGCATTACAATATTATAATAGAACATAATGCTGTTCATGAGCTGGATCAAACTATTTTCCTGCAGAGTTAAGTATTTTGAGATAATCACATAACTTAACCTACTAATCATTCAGGATGCGTGTAAAAGTTATGAAGTATTTTTACTTTACTTGCTGTAGATACGTTTAAACAAAATCATGCTTTGCTTTACTCCATCTAGTTTGGCTGGACATCAGCGATCGTGACAAAGAGTTATTTATACGTTCCCTTTGATTCAGCTCACTCTAAAGACAAATTATCAATGCGCCACACATTCTTTTTCTTAAATACACATACATTTTGCTCATTTGCTTCTTCGTCTTTGTTTTTCTGTAAGTATGGGGAAAAAAACAGGCACGTGCTTGGCCTCATCTGAGAAGCAGTAAAGAAACTTAAACGTGGGCGAGCAGTTCCTGTCTTTAAAAGAAAACCAAAAGAATTAAACTAACGTTCTGCTATTCTAATCTTTTGTTAAACATATAAGTCCAAACCCAATTTGTAAAATGTGTGTTCTACTTCTGTTTGCATTTATTTGTCTACTTCTGATGTGTTTAACTACTACTGTATAGAGTTATTTATGTGCTTAGTTGGTAAACTGTAAGAGCAATGGTGTGCAATGCTTCTGCTAGCCATTTTTAATCTTTCAGCTGCTATAAATACTTTGTATATATTTATAATTTAAATGGAACCACAATTCATTTGTTCAGATAATTGTTATTATCCTGTAGGTTTTTAAGTGAAGTAATCTATGTGCAGTGGTGGCCCATCCAAAGGGGCAGGTGGGGTTCAGCCCCACCTAAAAAAAACAATTCGTCCCACAAAGTAGTTCCTCCTAATAAATGATGTAAATTACTTATTTACTGAGCTTGCTGTATATTGTTTTGTGTATTTTTCAACAGTTTTGACAATTTTTAGTGGAGTTGAAAATTATTTTTGGTGATTCATCCTCAGTTTTTTACTTATTTACCTTTAAGGGACAGTAGTGATCCATGTTTGTGAAGCGGATCCAAACGTGCGGCCAGTGATCTGAACAGGAAGATCCAATAGAGTTTAATTTGGGGCGTCTGATTGTCTGCCCTGTGGACACATTCAGCTAGTTTTACCACTTTAATATGACCCCTACCCAGACCTGACATGAGCTCAGACCCAAGAGCAACCTGCTGAGACCAACAGTGGAGATATTCTGGTTTTAAATCTATTTGGAGACCAGAACAGAACACTGAGAAGAGGAGGAAAGTTAAAGAACAGGAAATAGAATAGAAATAGAAATAGAAACAGCCTTTATTGTCCCACGGATGGGAAATTCCAGTGTATCAGCAGCAACAGCAGCAACAGAAAAAAAAAAAAAAAGATTTCACACAAAAGTTCCTAAAATGTTAATAAACAATACAATATATAAGAAATAAGATAAACAATAATGTTCAACATGTATTGGAACATTGATAAGGACAGACTATTTACAGTACAGTATTACAGGCAGAGTGTATGTTTAAGCAGAGGTCAGCATGTATTTAATCTTTATTGAGTTTGTTGGGACCAGTGATGGTTGTAGAGTCTAACAGCTGCTGGGAGGAAGGACCTGCGGTAACGCTCCTTTGTGCATTTAGGATGCAGGAATCTGTCACTGAACGAGCTCTCCAGTTCAGCAACAGCTTCATGCATGGGGTGGGAGACGTTGTCCAACAATGTTGTTATTTTAACTGGAGTCCTTCTGTCTCCCACCACCTGCACTGGGTCGAGGGGGCGTCCAAGCACCGAGCTGGCCTTCTTGATGAGCTTATCTAGCTTCTTCTTCTCAGCTGATGATAAGCTGCTGCTCCAACACACAACACCATAGAAGATGGCTGATGCTACTACAGAGTCAAAGAAGGTCTTCAGGAGCACCCCCTGCACTCCAAAAGACCTCAGTCTCCTCAGCAGGTAGAGTCTGCTCTGACCCTTCCTGTAAAGTGCATCAGTGTTGTGAGACCAGTCCAGTTTATTGTTCAGGTGAACACCCAGGTACTTGTAAGAGTCCACGATCTCGATGTTCACACCCTGGATGTTCACTGGGGTCAGTGAGGTGGGTCTGTGCCGGCAGAAATCCACAACCAGCTCCTTAGTTTTAGCAGTGTTGATCAGGAGGTGGTTCTGCTGGCACCAGTCCACAAAATCTTGAGTCTTGGGCCACGCCCACTTCTCCGCTCTGCACGGAAAACAGCTGATCAGCTGCAGCAGGAAGTTTATCCTGCAATGTGGGCTGCACAGATGTGCAGCAGGTGCTAAATAATTTAAAATAATTTATTTTAAATAAAAATATCATGCCGATCATGCTGCTCATCCATCAATCAGCCAGTTGTGTGTCATGTCCAATCTTATTTGAAAACCCGCGATAGAGCAAGTCCACGATAAACGAACGGTGAAGTAGCGAGGGACTACTGTACTATGTCATCGTTTTTCTCTTTTATATTATTTTAGAATTACTTCACAGAACTTTTTTCTTCCTTTTAACTGGAGCATTATTTCTGAATTATTAGCTCAAATCAAATTAGAAATCCAGTTCAGAAAGCTGTGCACCTGTTGGCTGGGACTGGGAGGCGTCCGTTTCTCTCATTTATTAGACCAATTGTTTTTCATGAGACACAACCTTGACCCACGGGAGGGATAAAAAGGCAATTTGTAAATATTTTCTGGAAATTTGATGTCACCCCACTAACATTTTTGCTCAACGTGCCAGGACTATGTTGTGCCATGAAGAGAAGCCAAACCACCAACATTGCTACACTGTGATAAATGGCACTCACCTGCATCAAATACAAACATGTCCAACTTGTTAAAAAAATCAGTAGAATAAATAATGTGAGCTCATGCAAAATGATTTTGTCTTTCAGTCTGCCTTCTCAACTTTCTTCTTGCTTGCTCGGTTGCACCAACTACAACTAACTTCATATCTCAAACAGTGAATAATTAATTCAGCGACTGTGGAAATATTTGTGCTTTAAAGAAAAAAGAACCTAAAACCAGTCCCTGTTTTGCAATGATCTTGAGCAATTTCCTCTTCTGCATTTACCAGCTGCATGGACACAAACGTTAACCACCAGCAAGACGAGAAAGGCACAAAGATAAACACAAACTCTTTTACATGCATGATATACGTGACTATGATATGTGATGTGGACATGTGTAGGCTTGTTTCAAAGCACAAAGTCAGTACTGGTTTTACCCTTCTTCTAACGGCACGCACAGACTGTCGGTGCTATAGCTGGCACCACTACTTCTCTGGAAACGAGCGTCTTTGAGCCAGTTTTCACAGCCGTGCCGTGTAGCATCAGTATTTTTAGACTTTCTTTTCAAATAAAGACCTGAAACTTTACAGTCAAGCTGCATTGTGGACAGCTGCTAATAGGTTCATCACATCTGATGGTGCTGTGTCTTTACTACTGCATAACATTTACAGTTACTTTACTGTCTTGAGTGTAATGGTTGTAAGAAAAAGAAAGTTATGCAAGAAATACCGTAAATTTATGAATGCATAAAGCTTTGTTAAAATGTTTGTTTAAAGTATCGTCCCCTCTGATCAATGGTCTTTAAATACCTCTGTCACGGACATCTGAGACATCCCTTGGTATATTTAACCTAACCTGCTGACAAAGACTAATAAAAAAAAAAAAGCTAGTGTGCATCCCCAAACATTTGCTGCAGAGCTGGCCTCCCTGCAACTCTCCTTGACGTGTTCATGATCTTTACGAGCCAACTGTGTGCCATTAGGAAGGACGAGTTCAGCACTTTCTTCTGGATGTGAGAGTTGCATTAGCTTCTTTTAAAGTCTTGTAAAATTTCTGCAAGTAACCGACCGGAGTACGAAGGCAAAGGATGCGTGCTTGTGAGTGTGTTTAAGGGAACGACCAGTGATGCAGACTCACACATCTGGTAGCCTAATGCTGCGCCACGCAGGGACGACCGTCCAGTCAGCGTTTCTCACGGCTCACGTCAGGCTGTTCTGCTGCGTAAAAAGTACAATTTGTTCAATAAAAAGCAGCTCGTAGAGAAAATATAGGGAAACAGTGCACAAATGTTGTTAACACTATAATTTATCTCTCTCTTTCTAGTTAAAAATAACCAGTTGGGTAAAGCTAAAAGAAGAAGCCAACAACGTTCAGTGAGGTCATCTGGATGTTTTCTTTTTTTTTTTAACGTTTCATCCTTCATCCAAAGGACTTCATCACTCTGAGGAGCCACAACAAACTCAGTCTCCCAAGCAAGGATTTTCTACCTGGATTATTGAGCATGAACTTTGATGTTTTGAACCATTTTGGCCATGGCTGCCTCAGAGGAGTTGATGGGGGAGAGGGTGTGCTCCAGAAACCATATTATCACCATCAAACTAGTTGGTCCACTATGTGAGTGTGCTGCTTGTGAGACAGAGTTTGTTGTGGCTCCTCGCACTGATGAAGTCTTTTGGATGAAAGACGGACGTTTCAAAAGAAAGAAACCGTCCAGATGACCTGACTGAACTTTGTTGGATTTTTTTTTAACCTGGATTATTGAGCATGAACTTTGAGGTAATGGTGGAAGGTTTACCTTGGAAGCAGCATGAGGAAAAAGTTATAGACTGTGATCCATCTAAGGCTTTTATATTCAAAATAAACTGATCTTGTCATCAGATCATGACACATCAGTGAGGATTTTAAAAAAAAATCACCTTTATTCCCTCCAGTATTGCAGATTTACTGTAACTCTGATGCAGACAGGAAAGATAATACAGCATTCTTCTGCCAATAATCACAAATCTGTGTGTGCATCTCAAAAAAAAGTAATGTAACAAAATCAGATGCACAAATGTTGTTGTCTTACAAGAAAGCTCAGGCTTCAACATGAATGAAAAGGTTTTAAAGTTGTCTTTTTTTTCCTGCTTGAATTAAAACAAAAG